TCATTTACCAAATATACAAGACTGACCACAGCAACTAACAAATTTACATCCATATTGAACAAAAACTAAAAACGTCTGGGTGTTGGCATATCTAGTGGCCAAATTTTACTTAGTCTTAATAGAGATTGTCCATAAAATTCTTATGGGCTGACAAGTTATATATCAAACAATTTAACAGTGTGGCTAGGGAATACCAAGTGTCTACCTACTCCTGTCAATATGAAAAACTGTATTTGTACAAATTTTACCGTGTGACGCCAGCTTAAGGCTTGTAATGAAGAACCTACAAATACTATTTACTAGGTCTATAAATAATAACGCGCCCAAGGGGAATATTTTTTGTACGGAAGCACCTAAGTGCCATTCGACTTGACGACTTGTCAAGATAATTATGTTGTCAAGTTGACATAATATCCATATCATGTCGACATGGCGAGATAGATTATCTTGACAAGTCGACATGATATAAGTTGTATGTTGTCATGGCAAGATAGGTTATCTTGACAAGTCAACATAATAAAAGTTGTATGTTGTCATGGCAAGATAGGTTATCTTGACAAGTCGACATAATACAAATTGTATGTTGTCATGGCGAGATAGATTATCTTGACAAGTTGACATAGTAAAAATTGTATGTTGTCATGGCAAGATATGTTATCTTGACAAGTCGACATAATAAAAGCGCCATAACAACATACAATTTTTATTATGTGGACTTGTCAAGATAACCTATCTCGCCATGACAACATAAAATTTTTACTGTGTCCACTTGTCAAGATAATGTATCTCGCCATGTCGACATGATATGTATATTATGTCGACTTGACAACATAAATTATCTTGACAAGTCGTCAAGTCGTATGGCACTTAGGTGCTTCCGTACTTTTGTTATTTCCCCCTTAACGTCGTTTTTTAAATTGTTCTCTAATTCCTTCATTGTCTAAGTTCCCCTTAACGTACAGGTAATAAAAATTAATAATAATAATAATAATAATAATAATAATAATAATAATAATAATAATAATAATAATAATAATCATCATCATCATCATTTCGGCATTACATGTAATTGGTCTAGCCTTGTAATCAAGAACCTGTCGATTACTATGCCTAATATTAATAACTAGCTCATTTTTACATTCATTTGGTGCTCTGCCATTTTGGCAGGTCTTATGGCATCCAGTATTTCAGAGCTGCCAATTCTCAGCTCTTCTCTTAATTTGAAAATAACTGTCACTCTTTTTCATTTGATCAGTGATGAAGAAAAACGCGCTTTTCCTTACTCTTTGTGCTTTTCCCAGTAAGCGTTTTTAGTACTTGTAGACCTAGGTAATTATGCAAAACCCAGGCCTAAGTAAACAATTCAAATTGTCATAGTATGTAACTCAAGTTAAAATAACACTTTTCATTACTCGTGCAGCTTAATCAAATATTATATGTCATTTTAAACGACCCATTAGTATTAACATGGTAACATCAATGTATTTTTAAGAATTAGACAGCGACGTTCGCTCAGAAGTTGTTTTGTAGACGTTTATCTGTTGATGACCTTTTGACCTCCTGAATCCTGCAATGAGATTTTCGGGTCGATTCAGCCGAGACGGCCCGAGTGGAGTTTCATGTAAATGTTTCGTACGGAAAAAAAATCGTCAACCGGGCGGTATTCGTTTGCAAATTAATAATAATATGTCGTTCTTTTGAAGCGTTTCATGCCTCTAAATTTCCTCTAAGAACATTACTACACCGGTCATTGGATAATGAACACATAATTAATTAATTATTAAATGAAATTATATATTCCATACTATTGCAAAATGACAGAAAATATCATTCCTAACCTTTGACCTTAGGTAGTGTATTTCGGGCTCAGATCTTATAATTAATTTATTCATTCATTCATTCATTCATTCATTCATTCATTCATTCATTCATTCATTCATTCATTCATTCATTCATTCATTCATTCATTCATTCATTCATTCATTCATTATTATTTATTATTTATTATTTATTATTTATTATTTTATTATTTATTATATATTATTTATTATCATTTATAATTATTATTATTATTATTATTATTATTATTATTATTATTATTATTATTATTATTATTATTATTATTATTGACACTGGATTATTATTGCAGTGTCCAAACAAATCAAACAAAGATTCTTTTTTAGCAAAAAACGATAATATTTAATATTGCAGCAACGCATTAATGGTAACATATTGATTTTTAAAACGCTCGGTAAATGAATATATTTTGACACACTACGCATTCTTCGTAGACATGCGGAAACGACAAGCTCATGAATATGTGACAAGCTCATGAATATGTAACAAGAAGCTCGAGCTGCTGCTGTGTCTAAAAAACCTTACCCTGGTTTGGTAATCTTCGGTTTATAATTTGACCTTTCTGTCGGCGTCGTAAGCTAATACGCCATAACTCCGTCGGTGTGAATAGGGGCTAAGATCGACTGAGGTCATGTATGCACCTGGTGATATCAGTGACATTGCATTTGCAAACTTTTACACCTTAAAATGCTTATAAATAGGTCACAAACTTTTTTGAGAGGTCTAGTTTGTTTCTAAATCTTTCTTCTTTGTGACACAAACGTATCTTGTTCCGATTTATATAGTTTGATGGCCACTAACAAATTTGTAATTGTTTCGTCGATGGATTCCATGCCCTTTTTTATTTAGTCTATAAGGGCGAGAAATCATTTCTTTTAATTAGTGTGGTATAGCTCTTCTAAATTCAATTGCGTAACCTGTGATATTAACTATTTTCATCATTGGTATAATTTCAACTTTTATGTTGTTGTTTTGTGTCCATCTGTTAAGATTTGTATTGCTGGACTTGAAATTCTGGTGAGTTATCACTAGATTTTCTACAGGTATTGTACTTGACTATTTTGTTAAGGCGGTTTATGGAATAGACAGACGTAGGCTTTTTCTTTCATCGACTAGCTTTTTGACAGTAGAGCCTAGATCGCCAAACAAGTACTCATTTGGTGTGACATTTGGTTTGCACCAGGAAAGAGTGAACTTTCACTCTTCCCTTAAATCTGGTTATATCATTTCTAGCAATTCAAAGTCTGCGTTGACCACCAGAAGGGCTATGACGTCCCGTGATTTTTATCGGACGTGGATTGAATGGACTTGTCAATAACTGTCATGCTTTTTATTAAGGTTTCTAATTTTAGATTTGGTCTAGCCTTGGCACGACTCCAAAATAGTTGGGTTGACCTTTGGCACTTGTGAGTGCATCTATGCTATCTGGCCTTTGGTAAGCTTAACCACATCGGCCATCACCGCTTCATACGTGAGTGAGTGTAGGAGAAATGTCAGGGTATCGGAGAGTTCCTGACCACAGACGGTGACGTTTCAGTCGGCACCGCGAACCGTACCGCGAAGCCAGGAGCCAGTGACACAATTTTGCTTGTTGACTGTAGGAGTGTTGTAGATGTTGCTACTATTTCTCCCTCCTCCTCCTCTCCCTCCTTCTCCTCTTCTGACAAGTACAATGGAGTCTATGTTGAGGGGTGGCGATTGAGTGGATGAGAACAAAGGCCCGGTGATTTGATTTAGTCATAATCATCGTAAAATGTTACAGTACAATTTATTGTTTTGTAAAATTTTATTATGGACTGAATTTACTAATTAAAATAACAGGTCAAACCGACAATTAGACACAAACGAATAGACCGAAAAATGACGTAGAGATGCTTAGCAGCATTTAGAAAGTACATGTATCATCGATATTGTAATTCTGACCAAACCACTGGTTGATTATTACTCCGAGGCAATTTCAACTTAGACTCATATTACTATCCATATCCCACGATCTACCAAAATATAACCTTTATACTAAAAGGTAAAATATGCAATACTAATGATAATAATACAGTATTGTGTGGTGTAATAAGTTAAAGTTAAAACAAAACTAGTAAGAACAGATGGCTGTTACAGTTGGACTATTGATGCTATTTGAGTAGAAGTATGTGCGGTAAATGGAATAGCACAATTGAAGTCAGCCAATTATGATTTTTAACTATATAACTACTGGACGGATTCCTATGGTTTCTTTGGATTAAACAAAGTAAAATAAGTTATAAATACTGACACTCTATTGTTTACATTTCGGGTAACATTAATTGATATATAGGCGCTTCCTAACAACACATTTAAGTACTCCCATTGTTTACAATTCCTATAAATACCAACACTCGATCATTTATATTTCAGGTAATATTAATAAAATATCAGCATATCATAAAAATTCCATCTTTAAAATGAATTCCCTCTTAATATCCCCTGCATCTCTTTCATAATGAATATACCTGAGTACTAAATGACAACATTCTATCCATTTCCCAAACACATGTGTCTCCATTGTCTTATTTTAATCTCCATTGTTTCAAATAAAACACCTTTCCCATTGTTGCAGAAGGTAGACATTAATTATCTCGTATTGTTATATTTTAAACGATACCACACATTACAATTAATTATTAGATGAGTACGGCATTTTATAAATCAAAATGGCAGACAGTTCATTGGAAAAGTACGAGATGAAAAATGTTGGTGCCAAAAAATAACATCAAAAGCCAACATCAGCCAATAGTTGTACCTACTGTGCCCTTGGACTAGAAATAGTTAAAATGTCTTAATTTCAAAATTCTGTGTCGGATACTGGAATTGAAAATAAGTGAGGCCCAGACAATATGAAAGTTCACACTCACCTCTGCTCCAGAACCATGGTAACGAAAACGGCAGTTAAAACTGTCAACGATTGCAAAAAAAAAATAAAATTAAAAAAAATAAAATAAAATAAATAATGGAGGAGTTCTCGACGAACGATCGAGGAGGTTAATATGTAGATTAAAAGAAAGTACACACAATTATCACAAAAAACTTTAATTGAAGATAATTTAGATCACTAAATCAGGATCTGACTAACGATTTCTATCTGGTTTCCCACATTTTTTTTTAGGATGGGCAGCACAGATAGCATCCCCATTGTGAGCCAGGTCAAGTCTCTTGTTCAAGTTATTTCAGGTGATGCGGAAGGTGCAAAGAGAACTCAGGAAAACTTCCTTCACACTGCCCCTGTTCTGTCCCAGATCACATCGGTCATCCAAGCCATTGAAGGAGACACCGATGGTGCCAAAAAGACGCAGCAGGAGTTTGTTGAAAGTTTAGGACATTTTGCCGATGGGATCCCCGTGGTTGGTCATATCAAAGGAGTAATTGAATATGCCACTGGGCACAAGGCGGCTGGTGATGCTTCCATGAAGGCAGCCAGTCGAACAATAGGTGTACTTGCTGGAGGAGCTGCCGGTTTTTTTGTTGGGGGGCCGGCTGGGGCATTCCTTGGTGGTGTTGCAGCTGGAGCCGCAATGGACGGTATCATCACGGGAGTTGATTCGGCAGTTCATCATCAGTACTCCCCTTATGGTGAAGTATCAATTGTGACAAATATGGTCAATGGTCACTACGATCCTGGAGAAGAGTTCGACTTTGCTGCTGGTATCGGTTTTGATGGACTAGCAGGTCTTGAAGAGGCAGGTGAAGGTAGCGTGACGCAGACTATATCTGAGCATGTCACTGGAAAGCCAATCTACCGTGTGTTGAATGATAACGCAGCTCTTGAGGCCATACAGAATCAAGCACTTCCTCCGCCCTACATGGGAGGTGAGGTGTGGATCGCTGAAAGCACAGAACACTCACGTGCCTTCACAAGTGGTGGCGCTGCCAATCGCACTAATGTTCTTCAAATCAAAATTGATAAAGGATGGTATACGAAGATGCGAGATGAAAATCTTGTTCATCAGACCGAGGCAAATTTACCAGAAGGCATAGGCAAAAATGTGTGGAATGATGAAGCAGGAGGGGCAGGGGGTGGTAGTACAGGCAATTGGCCTGGCCATGGTGCTGTAAACGTCGGTATAAAACATATACAATATAATGACTTATGGGGTAATCGCAGCAATGGCTTCGAGGCCTTCAACAATAAATTGCAAACATATAGCGAAGCACTTGAAAAACCTGAACTTGAAATTACTGAAGGCGACAGAGAAGTAAGTACTCGGGGTCAACAAGGAAAAGAAATCAAGAAAGTGATAGGCCCTATTTTTGGCAAAACAGGCAGTGATATTCCAATTGTTGAAGCAGGCAAAAGACTGGCAATTGCATTGGAAGGCAATCCCTCTTGGTGTAGCGACGATTAAAGGCATAAATGTAAGTTTCAAAGCAAAAGATCAAGGTTTCGGATACAAAAAAAGCAAGATATTTCTTCGTATATGGAGAAACGAAACAACGAAGACCGAATTTAGTGATTACATTTTGACGGGTGGTACACTAGAGCATGATTGGAAAGAATATAACTGGGACGCTGGAGAAAATCAAAGCATTCCCATTGGTGCGGTCGCCCAATTGATGTGTTTGGTCGGTAAAGATGGCGGACATGAACTTTATGCCAATGATTTGAAGCTCATACTGACCATGGGGCCACCACAAATGGCAACTGTGAATACAATTGACTTTGTTCAACATGGATTAGTAGAGAAAAATACGAAATCTGACCAGTTTATTGATCTGTATGATGATGTGTTATCAATGTCCCATGATGTCAAGGGTGTCAAAGTCAGATTTGATGCAAAAGACCAAGGATCGGGGAATCTAAAAGGTCGTGTAGCAATGTGCGTTATCAAACCGTCGGGAGAAAAGAAAACTATTCTGCTTCATGATGGGACCATAGAGCATAACTGGAACTCCTATGAATACAACTCCGCAAACGTAATGCCATTCAAAATCGAGACAGGTGACGAAGTCAAATTTATGTGTGTTGTGGGAGGAGGTGGTGGTCACAAGCTTTTTGTGAAGAACTTGTATGCTGTTCTTACCTTTCATGAGACTACAAGAGTCTTTGCTCCAGCACAACAAGTCCATAATAAAAACAGCATTGACTCGCTCATTCCTCTTTACGAGCAGAAATTCCCTTGTGGTGTTAGTGCTGTAACAAAAGTGAAAATTACCCTTAATGCTAAGGATCAAGGTTCGGGGAACCTAAAGGGAAGTATTTACATGCGTTTGTGGGAAAATGGCTGCAAAAATGTTATTTCTGACATTCTTATTGCAAAGATCAGCCATGAATGGAAAGACTACTCCTATGAATCGGATACTATTGGTGGCGAAATTCCTCCTGGAAGTGTAATTCAATTCATGATTCGAGTCGGTGGAGGTGGTGGTCACGAGATGTACGTTAGAAACTTTGTTGCCAACATCACCTATATAGATTCACCAAGAGATGAGACGGCCTCTGGTTTCAATGGGGAAATTCGTTGCGTGGCAAAATTGAAGCAGCTACATGTGACTGGTGCAACATCCAACGTTATTGTGAACGTCGTCAAGCCAAATGGCTCCATTCGTACAACTTTACCTCTCGATGTAAGCATACATGAAAGCACATTGATTTCTAAGGTTGCTATTGGGGACAAGCTTAAGTTTGTACCTAAAAGTCCGGGAAGTCACGGATCCTTTCAAGTCACGGCCTCATTCCTCCCACTCGAAATTCCTGACCACAACAGTGTCGTGATCCACTTTGCCCCCAGGCTGGATTTTTATGGATTTGTGCATGGCTATGGACCTGACAATATCCTTACAGGTGATGACCACCGTTTGGAACTCAAGCAGAAGTTGCGCGCTGTGACCGTATCTTGCAATTGGACGGACGACAACCCTGACTATCATTCCACTGGGAAGTTGTACCTTGTTCTCAGGACGAAAGAAGGTGGAGAGAAGGGTCGTTACGATGTGTTTGGAACGGTGACGCACGATTGGAATCATATGATGCGTGTATTTGCTTCTGACGATGATCTTGTGAAAGATGCACAACCTGGAGACCATTTTGTCTTGTTACGTGAAGTCGGTGAAAATGGTGTACTCCACATCGATGATCTTGACATGTATTTGATGCTCTCTGACTAATATTTCATTGCTTCGCTAATTGGATATCGATGTGAGTGATTAATGACACGGATTACATACATCGTTAGAATAAAAATTATACAAATCTATATTGATTGGTTTAAAAGACTCCTTCAACTAGTGTTGCCAATAATGGTAACATAGTGTATTCGTATTTGACCCTATAGCCTTTGATAAATCTTACTTATTCTACGACCTCTGCTTTAGTCAGATCATGCATTCTGTTTTGCAAGTGAGTCCTTTGATACAGGATACATGCTGTGACTGAGGTAGATGCTTTTATAGGAATACACTCCTTTATCATATTGGCAACACTAGTTGAAGGAGTCTTTTAAATAAATCATTATAGCTTTGTATCCCACGATCTTGCCTATTCATTATTGTGCAGTTAATTAAGCCAGGGAAGAATGAAATTTCACTCTTCCTTGATTAAGCTTATATATTGCGGGACATTACGCAGAGGTTGCGCATAGATTACGCAATAATGATCATGATTATGGGGTCGTAGCCTACTTGGAAGTGGATTAAGCATCCACAGTACTGACATTAAATAACAATGAAGTAACTATTCACTCATTCGCTGGAATTAATATTTAGGCCTACCTTCTTCGACTGATGGATCATGCTTCAAAATGTGTTTTTGTGAGAATCGGACTAAACCCACACAGGACAATAACCACCAGAAAAAACCCACCCACAATGGACTGTGTTTAAACATTTAAAATAAAACTAGGCTGTATTGGATATTTGTATACCAAACGCAAATATTACAAAGATTCTATAATCTAGGAGTGCTCTCATCCTAGTAAGTTTGACTTCAAAGGAGTTCTACACCAGACATTGACATAACCGTAGCCAAGTTAATGAGGTCGGGAGTTCGAATCCCATGACGGGCAGTCGAATTGTGTCCTTAGAAAGGATGCTTTATCTACATTAGCCTCTCCTTATCCGGACGTATGGAATGTTCATGCTCTTTACCTGTTCGTGGTGGCCCTGTTACTACTTCACCGAAGAACTGCAATCAAGAACCACAAATAGTGGTAATCCACACAATAAAATCAAGATTGTATATGGCATTGTCGTGTTGCTGATAAGAGATATTATATCATATATCAGGCCACAACGTCTAGGGTAGCACCAGCTCAATTAGTTATTGATGAGATGTCAAGATGTACAAATTGTCCTGCATAACCACCTTCTGTAACAGAATTTTTGATCGAAGAGGAGTAAACAAATGCAATTGACAACCGCGACTTTATTATCCTTGATAAGATGATATGAACTTATTTGCTGTACTTGCAACAACTGATGGTTTGAGACGTCTATTAAACTCATCAGCGTGGTACATGGATGGTACCTTCAATACAAACCAAAATTACTACAAGCAACTGTACATCATAAGGGTCAATTTAGAGAACAATTCAATTACAACTGTATCTACTAACAATTTCAAAAACGTGAACATTATGAGAAATCTCCGGAGCCGTTGTTTCAATGCTACACACCAAATCCAACGGTTTCAAACATGGATTTTTGAGGATGAAATGATTGTATGCTGCATGTGCTAGTGTGTTTAAACAGAATATCACAATTCATAGATGCTTCTATCACCTTGCACAATCATCATGAATAAAGTTACAATCGCTGCATTGCATCACTTTATTTGGAAGATGGAAGACATTCAGCACTTCTGTGGAATGGTAGATGTACTTGCTTTCCTGCCCCCTGATAAGGTATGTCAATTAATAATCGCATGTTTTTATTCTTAATTATGTTTTAAATAACTGTCATTGCATTTGTTTGCATTCTAAAAGGGCAAGTTCACCGATTTCAATTATTGTAAACAGGAATTTGAATACAAACATAGTCTAGGGCGCGCTCGTGTGCTCGCTGGAGTGGCATGACATTCTCCTTCGGCCGGCCACCCTAGCTGCTGTGTGTACTTACTTTGTATTTCGGTTAGATTTATTGGTAGTTCTTTTGCTCAAAATCACTTTCGTGATTCACATTGGAGCAGAGGAAATATCTATGTCTATACAGCTTTCTGAGTTTAATCCTGCAAGTGAGGCCGAAATAAATGATATTGTTAGAAGTTCGCCTTTGAAATCTTGTCGACTTGACCCGATACCTACTTCATTGATAAAGACATGTCATGATGCCTTTAATTCCAATCATAACTAATATTGTAAATAAATCTCTTGAAAGTCTTTGGGTCTTTTTCCTGATGCGTTGCAAGTTGCGCATGTGTTTCCTACTTTGAAAAAACCAGGCCTAGATCTTGGGGTTCTCAAAAATTACAGAATCGTTTCTAATTTAAGCTTTCTTGGTAAGATAATTGAAAAGGTTGTGTATAAACGATTATTGACCCATGTTAAAGAACATACTTTACTTCATTCGTTCCAATCTGCTTACAATGCACATCATAGCACTGAAACAGCCTTACTTAGAGTAAGCAACGACATCCTACGTGCAATGGATGATGGCAAACTTATTGCTTTAGTGCTATTATATTTAAGTGCAGCTTTCGACACTGTTGACCATAATGTTTTGCTTCGTAGATTAAGTAAGCACATTGGAGTCGAAAGCCGTGCACTCGAATGGTGTCGATCTTATCTGACAAACAGACGTCAAAACATATACATACATGTATGTATAGGGGACGCTTTCTCCCAGGAAAGTTCCTTTAATTTTTCTGTTCCTCAAGGATCTGTTCTTGGGCCACAATGGTTCACAATTTATATCCTACCTATTCGGGATATAATTTGCAAATATAACTTGTCCTACCATGTTTATGCTGACGATACTCAGATTTACCTCTCGTTTAAGCCGTCCATGACGCAACTTAACCTCTCCTTAAATTCACTTGAAAATTGCATTTCTGAATTACGTGTTTGGTTGAAGCAAAATTTTCTAAAATTGAATGATGTCAAAACTGAATACATACTTCTTGGGTCACGCCTACAATTGGAAAAACTTCCACTGAGAAATTTAGTTATTGGGGAAAACGCTAATAGGCTCTGCTGCGCAGGTCAGAAATCTTGGTGTTACTATGGATGCTAATATGACAATGAGTAGACATATTTCGAATATCATTTCAACATCTTCATTTTATTTACGTAACATTAGAAGCATTAGGAAAATATACATTGACAATGCAGCTGCCGAACAACTTGTTCACTCATTTGTTACTTCACGCCTTGACATGGGTAACTCGCTCTTGTATGGATTTCCACATAAACAAATCCAACAGCTTCAACTCATTCAAAATGCTGCTGCACGTGTAGTTAACAAGTCATCCAAGTACTCACATATAAGAAATACTCTGAAATCATTACATTGGCTTCCGGTACAACACCGCATTGTTTTTAAAATATTATTAATTGTTTTTAAATGTAAAAATGGTTTGGCTCCTGACTATGTTGCTGACATGATTCGGCCTTATATTCCTGGGCGTAACTTGCGCTCTT